TTTCCCTGACTCTTCACATTCTCCTGTTTTAAAGGAATAACTGCAGATATAAAGTTTTATGGCTTAGGCCACTATAAATTGGAGGAAATGCAACAAATATTTGCACTAATCTTCAACAAGACCCCTACTCCAGTCCAAAAGCCTACAGCCCCCTAACTTGTCACTAGACAAGTGATAGTGATAGTTTCCTATCTTTCTGCTATCTTTTATTCACCACACCAGAGAGCACTGATTTTGACCAGATTAAATTTATTACCTTCAGCACCTCTAAAAGGCCACTGTAACAAGACCATTTTATGTGAACATCTCTGTCTCTGTCCAATGAAGGAAAATGAATCAACTCCCCACACTCTTCCACACAGTACTGCCCTTTTCATTCACAGAGGTGAAAGATCTAAACTTCCTCTCCTGCCAGCAAACCATGGAAACGTAGAAGAAACAATCACCTAGTCCACTTTCTAGCAAATAAGTCAAGGACATCCTCCAAGCAAAATTCTTGCAATTGTTATTGCAGTATGTTCAAGGGCTGTATAACTACCATAAACTACAGCATCTCTCATCTGAGAAATTTTTTAGGTAGGATTCTCATATCTTTCTAATACATTTTATTAGATACTTTATAAATCTATCTAATCTATTAAATATAATTACTATTTCCATTTTTAATGTGTTTGTATATAGGAATACAGGGTTATATCCAATTAATAGTTAAGCATTTAAGTCCCTCTAAGTATTTTAGATTCATTTTTGTATTTAAGACTCTTGGGGGTTTTTTTTCTCTTTTTCTTTTACAATCTGCTTATCTATTTTCCTTTTCCCTTTGACTCTGTCCTTCTGTCATGGAATGGGTCCATAATAAAAGATATACACAGCATCAAAAACCTTTAAACATCAAAGATGATTGTTGCATACAATTACTTGTATCAATTCCTAGAATAAATTATTGGCCAAAGCTAGTCATATTTCCTATGTCATATTAATAATACTGGTTAAAAACAGCAAATATTCAGAGTATAAATATGTCTGAATCGGCAAGATGAGTATCTATTTTCACTGTCTTCACAACTGAAGCTTGGAAAGTGATCAGTCTGTAGCTAATCAATCAAATTAAGAGTAGATTGAAGGACGATGAAATGACTTTAAATTTTGGTCTTTGTCTTCTAAACAAAAGATAACTTTATTAACCTCAGTACTGCCCATCCAATCTGTCCTGTAATGGAGAATCATATAAAACAAGACACTGTTAAAAGGTTACTCTTGCCTTTAACAAGTCTCTTTATTGCACTTCCAACAGTACAGTGAAAGGCCACACTAGTATCAAGGCTATTAATAAGTGGAGCTTTGCTTAATCTGGCAAAAAATCTTCATTACCTTCTTCCTTCATTACCATTTCAGCACTTATGAGCAAGCTGATTCACAGGACACTTTTTTCATCTGCCATTAACACATGTGAGGAAAATATTATGGCCACCAAATTCTTCCCAGCTTCAACTACAATCCTTACCATTCATTGATCACCTAACTCTTTTTCAACACTGATCAAAGAAGCATGGCATCTTCCTTCTTCTTTCTGGTGACTGATCTGATGTGTAACTCCATAAGATCTTGCTATGAGTTTGCCAAAATATCCTCTTCTAAAATCTACTTAGTAATGTCAGCTACCACCAGAAAGTGAAGGTGAAGAAGATTAAAATGGTTGGAAGGAAGGTTGAATTTTGGAGCTGAAGATGTAGCAAATCTGGTTTTGTTCAGAAAATGATAAAGTAGATCAATTTGTATCAAAATCATCCCAATAAGAGTGAAGGCTAAGCAAAACTAAAATTAAAAAAATGTTCTCTCCCCATGATGCAAAACTACTGCATTAATGCCAGATTGAATAACTATAGCTGGGTGAAGTTCCAACAGACAACAGCATTATACCCCACCTACTCAAAGTGTCTACAAAATATTGAATTAATCTTGCTAAGTTTAATGGGGCCAGCTCTCCCATATCTCTTCTCAATAATCTTACTATCAAACACAGAGCATTGAACTCTGTATTCAAAACAATTTGTGATTAATCAAAATATGAATGTTTTATTTCCAAGATAGTTAGATCTTAGGGCTCTGAAAGAAATAACTTCCAAATACGAACAGATGCTTCACCATTTTCTTAATCACCCTAGACAGTGCTTTCTACAGGTTGACAGTGGGGGGAGAGTAGATTCACTGCCATCACCACAACTATGGCCCAGAGCTTTTAAGATCCAAACCACAGTGAGCAAGTTTTAGTAAGAGTTAAGTGACTGTACCCACAAAAGGTGGGTATTTAGTTTTTTTTCAGCTTCTTAGGACTGAGGTTTGGACTCTGAACTGTAAATAATATCCAGGTACCAGGGTACCTGGTGTGCCCACAGGATCAGGTTCCAAGAAAATATGTTTAAAGCTGAGGTGCTAGAGTTACCAGAATGGAAATCCTTGTGCTACAGTTCAGAAAGCAAAACAATTCCAACAAGAGGATATTAATGTACAATAGAGAATATGAAGCAGCAGTTAAGCATGCAATCTGAAGTGAGATACATTGAAATCAGTGTGACTTATTTCCAAGGAATATCATTAGAACTGTGATATTGAACTGTTCACATTCAGTTCAATGTGAACTGAAAAAAATCAAAAGCAGGTGCTACCCCTAGCCCTTGAGCATCTAGCATTCTGCATCACTCAGTTATGCAAGCGAAGAGGAACGGTACAAAACATGAAAATCAGTAAAGGATTTTGTTTGGTGATGGCTACCTTCTTTTTCATTAACAATGTGTTGATGTAGAGAATAGAATGTCTTTGCAGATGGAAGTTTCAATGAAAGATTTGGCAGGAAAAAACAACGTGTTGATTTGTATGATACAGTAAATCTTATTAAAACTTACCAATGAACAAACATACCTGCAATTCTCATGAGTGCCAGTGGTTAACAAAAGAAAGGCGAACTATGTTTTGCTTTAGATTTTTCTCTAATTTGTTCTAGGAGGAACAATTTAGGGACAGTACCCTAAATTAACCACAAACTTTGTCGTTTTCTGATGGTGTCTGCTTGCAGAGAGAATTCGCTTGGACCACCCTACTGCTCATTTATTGATAAACCTTAATACAGCTTGCTGTGTCATTGCAGACTGACTCTATGCATGGTTTAGCTTGGATTAAAACATATCTGATTTACAGGAGACAAAAATAAATATGATCTAGTGGAATATTCTGACAGCATACAGTATTTTCATATTAAATATTTCAGCAAATATTTCAGCATATTTTCACAGCATATTTTGGATGCAGTGCTCCACTTTCCAATCCCTCTTTCAATGCTCGTAAGAATGTATATCTATCGCCAACTACTACTTGTTGGAATCTTTGTTACACAATTCAGGAATAAAACTAAAATTGATCTGCTTGTATAGAGTTAATTTTAACTAATGGAATAGGGAACAAATATTTAAGGAGAGATGCCATTGCTTTCAATAGGACTTAACTCTTCTATGCACTGGATCACTGCCTTCTTTGCATTTTCAGACATGTTTTCTTCCATATGCAACAGGCTATAGCATTAATTAATTAATTAAGCTATTCATTAAACGAAGGGATGGGGGATGGTGAGAACAGCAGATTCCCGTGTGGAAGAACTTGGTGATACTGACAGCAACTCATTTCCTCTTTTTTCTAATGAAGGTTGATAAAGACACTCCACGGCTCGGAAGGGAGACAGGCTCTGGCACATTAATAGGATTTTATAAATTTCAAATACCTGGGAGGAAAAAAACCCTACCTCCTCTATTCACCTCCGTGGGTGAAACTTCTTTTTTATGTATCAGAGCTTCCAAAGATTATGCTTTCACTCAAATCACTTCAGCAGCATAAATTTCCTGCTAGGCCTCCATTTAAGAAGCCACCCCATTGCATAAAACATCTTGCATACAGATAAGCTCTCTTCCTTGCAGGAACAAATTCTGTTTAAAAGCAAACTTTAGTTCTGCTTACTGCTGTTCCATAACTAAAGAATCACATTGCCAAATGCTGAGTTAACAAAATAATGAACCAGCGCTGAACCACAAGTAACACTTGCTTTCTTTTCACATGTTCTAAGCAGCCAACAGCTGGTAGAACTGTCCACAACACGGCAAGAGTCGTGTTTCTAAATCACCCAACAGTATTCTGGGCAGGGTACAAATTCTTTAAAAGTATATATTTAAAAGCAAGTGGGCATAAAACATTTTTATGTTTAAAATTGCATATGCTATTCATTAAACGAAGGGATGGGGGGGGGGTGAGAACAGCAGATTCCCGTGCGGAACAACTCGGTGGTACTGACAGCAACTCGTTTCCTCCTTTTTCTAATGAAGGTTGATAAAGACACTCCACGGCCTTCCACCGCTCGGAACAGTATTGGGAGACAGGCTCTGGCCCTATGGGGTTTAGCCAAGAGTTGCACATAACGATTCACATAAATAGTCGCCTATACAAACACACACACAAAGCGATCGGGCCCTATATACTAATTGGGATGGGGTAGGGAGAGAGGTCCACTTGCTTGATTACACTGCCTCCCGGCCAGCTCCCCAAAACCGGATCTCAGCTAGTCAGGGGTTAAACCCAGACCGAGCAGCAGCAGCGCGAACTGTTCTTGGTGGACTAAAGCAAGCCCCGACATGAAAGCAGCCTGAACACCGGGCAACGCCGCTCGTCCTCGCCACACCGACTACGCACGGAACCTGCAATCATCTCCATAGTACCCGCTGAGCGCTGGCCTACAAATATATACAGCACGCTCGTTCTCCCGGCACAGGCGCGCACGTCAGCGTTGGATGCGTCCCCGCCACCTACCCAGAGGCCGGCGTCCCCTCCGCAGACCGCCGCCCACACCTGGCTCCCCGTCACCAGGCGCTGGAAGCTCCTTTCGCTTGCCCTTCGCCAGCAGTCCTGGATTGGGAGGGAAGCTACCGCGCCTCCCGACAGCCCTGCCACTTTCCCCTCACCTGCAAGGGAGACCGAGCGGCCGCAGCGCTTTTGAGCTTCGGCGCGAACCGCAGGAACTTGTCAGCGCTCTGTTGGAGCGGCGGAGGCGGCCGCTAGAGACGGGCTGGACCAGGCCCTCTACGAAAGGGCTGAGCTGAAGCAGCCGCGCCACCTCCCTCCTGCTCCTCCTCTTCACGGAGCCGCAGCCCCCGTGACAGAGCCGCCCACGAAACGCGCTGCGGCGTGAACCAGGAACGGCCGCCCGCCTGACACCGCGGCGCTGGAGACGGCGATGCCCCGCGCTTCGTCTCTGCCGCGTGTACTTCCCCCCACCCATCGCCCGTCCAAAGTGGTTAGTGGGACTCCTGAACGCCGGAGGGATTATTAGCAGCCGTGGCTGGGAAGGAGAATGAACGACGAAGCTTGATGTTGGCGAAATAAAGGCCTGCCACCTTTTGATACAGGCAGAGCATGACCTTGAATGAGCGAAACGAAGGCTATTCCGACCTTCCTTCGAATAACGCGCAGCGTTTCTGGTGTGATTGAGGTGGAAGTAGGCACGACTCAAAGGAGAGATGTAAAAATCCAAAGATACTAGGAAAGCGGTGTTCGAAACTCAGACTTGTTTCAGATGCATACTTTGCCTCTTTTGCCCACTTTTCTTGAATGGTCAAGCAGACAAAACATAAATAGCAAGTTGCTAATATCTCCATCTAAGAAATATATCAGCACAAAGTATGTACATATGACCAACCTCTTGAAAATGGAGGCCAAGGATACATCTTGCAAAGACATAAAAATACAGAATTACATTCCTTCTGATATTTTAGTATGCAGGTCTGGATTTCACATTGGAAGTGAAAAACAGGTCAAATAAATTATGCATTTTAAACCACCATTTTGTAAAGGTATAAATCGAATAATAAATACAATCAAGATCATTGCAATGCATAACGCTTATGTTGTTCCGTCTCTGCCCACTCCTATTTTTGTTGCTGTTTTAAGACAAGAAGATATTTTTGCTTGAAACAACAGTAATCAGTTTCCCCATACCAAGAGGGTACCAAGGGGGAAACTGATGTTTCCCAAGCTTTGTTGCTTTGAATGACAAACACAAATCAGTGAATAAAGTCCAGGTGCTACTCTTGCTCTGCCAGTTCTACACTTGTCATAGTGGGCCATCAGTGGAGAGAAAAACAGATCCTACAATTAAGCAGAGGAAAGTAACTGATCCTGATCTCAAAGAAAGGACACCAAAAACAAATTATTATTGTAATTCACAGGTATTTTATAGCCTGACATTTGCTGCTTACACCTCAGACTACAAAATGCCTAGTGACAGAAATTGGGACTGAGATTGCCTTCGCTAAGCAATGTCACATCACTGCATTACTCAGTGATGGCAATCCCCCCAGTTCTGGTTCATAACCCCAAGACACACAGTTCATCAGGTGGGAAGCGGAAGGAGTCCCAGATAAGGAGCGCAGGAATGCCACAGGGGAGGCTTGGCACAGGCCATGCCCGAGTTTGGGGAGTGCTGCAGTGTGGTGCAAGCACAGGGAAGCCAAGGAAAGAGGAAGTGGGGTGCATGTGTGTGAGTGCAGAGAGACTGAGGAACAAGGGCGTGGGATGCATGCATGTGTGCAAGCACAGGGAGGCCAGGGAAGGAGGGCACAGGGTGTCTGTGAGTGCAGGGAGGCCAGGGATGCAGCATGTGGTCCATGTAAATGAAGAAAGGCTGGGGGGAGGGGAGACTTAACCAAGTGACTTGTGACCTTCCCTGCCAGCTTCCCCATTGACTTTGCTTGTGGGAAGCCTGCAGAGAAGGTAGGCAATGGCGATCCCATGACCGCAGGATGCTGCAACTGGTCGTAAGTGTGAGCTAGTTGCCAAGTACCCAAATTTTGTTCATGTGAATGTGGGGACACTGCAATGGCTGGAACTTTGAGGACTGGTCCTAAGTCCCTTCATTCAGTGCCACTGTAACTATGAAACAGTCACTGAACGAATGGTTGTAACTTGAGGACTACCTATAGTTCTCTTTCCAGCTCTCTGTCTATAACTTCTGTCTTATTCTCCAGAATTTCCACTTTGTCATTAATTTGTTTTATATCTCCAGACACTTGTTTTACAGAGCTTTCCATCTTCTTAACTTCTTCTGTCAGCTCCTCTTTCATCTTTACAAGCCTTTCATCCATTCTTTTTTCAAAAGCTGTCAATTTAGTATCCAGTGATTTAGTCAATTTAGTATCAAGTGATTCAGTTAACTTATTGCTCTCAAATGTTCAGTTAACTTATTGCCCTCAAACATTTTTCTGAAGTAAATCTGGTGTAATTCCTCTCTCTGCAGGTTGCTCTAGCGATCCTCTCCTCCTCTCTGCTGTTTTTGCTGCTTTTCTGGTGGATGCCATTGTAATATTGTAATCCAAAAGTGAAAGTGCCTTAATTGCAAGGGAAAGAGTAAAAGGCAAACTTCCTTTTTTTCTGTTTTGTCTTCTTATGCCATTAATACTTTCATCTCAAATGGCACTCCATAGTTAGAGTCAGCATCTCAGTCAGGCTCATATTACCGTTATCTTTTGCGTTGTAAAATCCACCAATTGTCTGCACTTTTTAATAGTAAACAAAAAACATTCTCACGAAGGTCCGGTCCATTTGTCTATTTTAATTCCAATTTGTTCAAAAGCAATTTCACCAAAAATAATCTTTCAAAATAACTATCCCCTTTATCCATTTTAAACTTTCTTACATCCATTCCTTGTTAAGCTTTTTGCCAAAAGTTTTTAAATCTTTAAAACCTTTTCTTTCCTTTTTAAACCAGAAAGAATGTTGACTCACCAAGTAGAATTCTCTTATCCTGCCATTCAGAAAATCTCCCTTTAACTATAAATTAATTAAATCCAAAAGTGTTTAAAAAAGTGAGGCTTGTGTGAACCTTGTGTCCATGTGGGCTGCATTACAGCTGTGAGCTTGATTGAAATCCCTTGACTCCCAGCCACTCAACTCACAAGCCATCCCCGTTCCTTCAGGGATGTCTAGTCCACCATAAATCCGCACCCAGAAGCTGCTGCATTTGGAATCAATTTTAGTTTCTGAGTAGTTTTCAAAGCAGTCTCATGTAGAGTTCATTTCAGTAATCTAGCTGGGAAGTGACAAGAGTATGTGTTACTGTTTTCAGTGCTTCCTTCTCCCAAGAAATGTTGCAAACTGGCACAATAACCAAGGCTAGGCAAAGACTCACATATCCACTGAATCTACCAGCTTGTCCAAGAAACTTGTCTGTAGGCATGGACAATTCATTCATTCATTCAATAAAGAAGTACAATTAAAAGAAGAGACAGATCAAAAGGACCCAGAAGACAGACTCTGAATTACAATAAAACTACCTACAGGGATTCAACCACCATTCTGCTCCAAGACCTTGGAGGATAATTTAAGGTACTGGACTGGAAACTGAGAGGCTGCTTTGAAGGCTTATATTAGTTAGTTAGGATTACCTCTGGAGCAGCCAGAGCTAAATTTGGAAATCTGCAGTTCTATGTAAGGAGATCAATGGGGATTCACATAGCCCTACAGATTAGAGTATTAATCTCTAGATTAATTAACTCTTCCAGGCTGCTTATTGGTTTGTCTAAATAGGGCCTTCAAAACTTTCTGTTCAGCATGAGAATTTTGTCTGGGCAATAATAGTATTTCCTATCTCTTAGCACTCATTATGTTGACTAACAGTTGCTTACGGCTCAGCTTTTACAATATCTTTTAATCCTAGAGTTGGATATTCCCAAAAAGAATGTGATAACAACTGAGAGGTGTAGGCAATCGTAAAGCCACCAATTGCCTCTCAAAAATGACATAGATTTACTGACAGTGCTCCAGCCCATGGTGAAGCTGGATTGAAGGCAGCTATTTTCCACACTACTATTTTATTAGGAATGTAATAAGCCAACTAGATACCTCTGTTTAAAATACTTTGTTTTTCAATATCCTTTTCAATGTGAGACAGTGATTTTAAGTTCATCAAAATCTTAGCCACCTCAAGCACATACTCAGTTTCTTCTGGTAGAATCTCTCCCGTATGCTAAATAATTCATCAATCTTTTGTTGGTTAGCTTGTTCCCCCTATTCAGGAGATTTGAGAGCATTTAAGTGCTCAGACAGTGGCATAGACACACTCTTAGGAACAGAATGTTCTCATTCTCAGTTTTACCTCCTTTATTCAATAAAGAGAAGATGGAAAAAAAGGAAGAGATGAGATAGAAAAGTGTTGTTTTGCTTGGTAAGAATACTGCTATATCTGCTACTACTTCACAGTATTCTTAGTACTCATAAAGTTTTCAAGTATTTTATTTAGTATGACATTTCAAGCAATGTCGTAATTTACATTTCTGTTTATATCTTACAATCTAAATAACTCCTTCAAGTCAGATAAAAATCATTCAATTATTATTTTGTATTACAATCTGTTTTCAGTTATAGCGACAGTAAACAGAACCATAGCAAACTGAGTATCAGTGATTTATTCAAACTGAATAGAAAGAATGTTAACTTGCTTGATTGGAGGATTCAGAAAACAAACCAAATAGATACAAATCCTTCAATTTTGCATGTGCATAAATCAGAATATATATGGAACAGACCTTGTGATTCTGTATCATTATAAGCTGATAGCAGGCAGCAGTTGTGTGTTTGAACTAGGGATATGATGTACTATGAAGTGTTATCACTGTCTCTTTGCAGAAGGCCCAACTGAAATGGGTTTGGTCATTACATTTAGTGCAATCCTATTCAGTTTAGTTTAGTTTAGTTCATGTTTAGTTTGTATGCTCGATGAAAGTACAGAGGACTGCAGTGTTTAGCCCAATTGATTTTGAGTTTATTTTTAAATCAATGGGATTTTGAATTATGGCACCTACTTTTCCCATCCAGACTTTTCTATTATTCTTCAATTATTATTAAAGATCATAATCATTGATAATGAGACTGCAGTAATGAGAGGCACATTTGGGAAACCTTCACCTTCTTACCAGTAGATGCTACAGTATTTCCTTATCTTATGGGAGATACCAAGATACATAGGATCA